TGAAGGGGGACTATATAGAGCGACCGAATCGGTAGGAGGTAACCCGGAATTCTCCCACCGATTTTTCAGAGACGTGCGAGGGCTCGCGCCAGCTCCGTGGTCGCATGATCTCTGCGCCACGTTCCCCTCCCCTCAATTGGCTGAGCCGTTGTCGCTAGAAACTACCGATTTGGCGGTTCCTGGCGGGCGTGGTTGTGGGATGCTTTAAACATCATGCGATGCAGGCCAAACAGTGAGCCCGGGCAACCAAACAACCAATTTCTTTCTGTGCGGGTCTGTTTGGGCCTCGTACGGGCAACCAAACAAGTCCTTAGTGCTCGAGAAAATGCACTCGGGAAATATCTGGCACTAGGAAAAGTTTCAGATTCTAGCAATGCGTATGCTTCATAGATTTTGTCAAAAATATAGGAGAAAGGATCCCACAAATCTTGAGATGCTCAGGAGCATTAGATAATCCTTGGACGTCCACTCCACGTGGGAAATCCACGATGACGAAACAAACCAAATAATATGATTTGGAACCCATTTGACTACAGCGTTAATTAGAGGTTACATCACAGTACAAACATGTGTATCCATTCCTCCCCAGCTCCACTGGACAATCAACCAACGAATATGTCGAAGAGCAAAAGGTCAATTCCTGCTTGAGTAGTTAATTAACCCAGCCCTCCGGTAATTGAGTACCACATCAGTACTCTACGTTGCCCTGGTAAGTGGCCGACTTGATGGTAGGCGCCTTCTTGGGCGATATGCTGTCGACGACGAGAGCCGCGTGCACGTTCACCTTGAGCTGCGGCAAGTCGTAGGTATCCAGCAGCAGCTGCACCGGCACGGTGACGTACACGTCGAGCGGCACGTTGCCGGACTTCTCGCTCTCCTCGAGCGCCTCCTGCAGGCCGGACCCGAACCCGTGGCGCCCCTCCATGGAGATCTCCAGCATGGTGACGTTGTTGTGGCCCTGGAAGAAGGTGGGGAGTTTGCCGGAGCACAGCGGCGTGCCGCGGTAGGAGACGACGGTGTGGGAGCCGTCCGCGTACTTGATGCCGATCTTGTCGTTGGGGTTCTCGGCGCGGACGGTGGCGACGAGCTTAGTGTAGAGCGTGAGGTCGGAGGAGCTGAAGTCGAACTTCGAGACGGCCATCTTGCTCACGGAGTAGGACGGCGCCTTGGGCTTCAAGGTGTAGGCGAGGTAGACCAAGGAGCCGAGCAATAATGCAAGGAGGACTAAGAGGAAGCAGCAGCAGCCGCACAAGCAGCAGCACACGCCGCCGCCTTTGTTCTCGTCCTCCGGGTAGCGGGGGGCGCTGCGCTTCCCCATGGCGTGATTATTGTTAAGCTAGGTACGTGCGTATGACGTATGCGCAGCTAGCGAGCTAGGGATTGATATCGACGACGTCCCTCCGGCCGGCCGCGGCGGGAGCTCTGAGCGAGAGGCCGGCGTCGTACGTCGGCAGGGGGCGGCGAGGTGGGGAGGGGGGTAGGCCGTGCGTGGAAGGGACGAGGCCGTTGGTTATAATATGGGCGCTGTTTCGGTTTGGTAAGAGAGGTTGCGAGGGAATGTCGGGGAATTAAACATGGAGTGGAGACGAATGGCCAGAGAACAGCGGGCATGTGTTTGCTAATTATATGTCGGAAGTCAAGATTGGTCTCGCACAAGTAATTATTAGGTCTCGGAAATTTAGCTATTCGTCACATGTTTAGTTCTTGACTTGTCCACGTGAAGTGAGAGCTGGTTAGATTTCTTACGGTGGAATCAAGAGTTTAAGTCTTAGATTTAGCACTGGTTGTTGCATTTTTGGGGCCTTTCGGTGATGCAATGTTCTTTTAGTGGAAGAAGACTTTATCGTCGACTACGTAGACACCTAAAAAATTGTTGACTTGTCCACACAATACTCAATATAACTTTTGCGGTGCTAAGCCATTTTTTCTTCCTAAATGCTAAAAATCTCATAGGATTTTGAAAGTTTCGGATTTAAATGCATGAATCTTGGAACTCATTTTCAAAGGTCGTTCCTTGAATCGGGGCTTCAATGCGAACGCCTATCATATCGAATCTTAGAGCATCTCCAGCCGTTCACCCCCCCCCCCCTAGGGGCTAGGAAAAGCACCGCTTGGGGGCGAACCGGCGATATTTTCGCCGTTGGGGCGATCGGGTTCCTAGTCGCCGCCCCAGGGTCGGCCCCAGACGCCCTTTTTTAAACATTTTCAAAATGATATTTGGTCAAAATTCGGCAAAACAGGGGCATAGATTCGGCAAACACGACATATATTTAGGCGTTTGACAATTTTTTACATAGAAAACATAAATTTAACTAAAGAAAAACAAAGAGAGAATTCCTTATTTGGCCCACTCGTAAAATTTAGTTTCCTTTTTGGCCCAGAAAACTGTTTTCTTCCCTATTTGACACTCAAACTTCATTTTGTGCCTTCTATGACACTTTCATCCTTTTTTTCATCCAGAGATGTTAACTAGCATGTGCAAAGACAATTTTACCCCTCATGGTAATATGTCATTAGAAAAGGGTAGATGAGGGACGTGAACAAACAAAAAAAATACGACGAAGTGCACCTGTGTCATGTCCGGTTAGATACATGTGTACATGTGTACGTTTGTGCGGCCATCAAACAAGCTAGCTTTATTTATTTATTCATTTTTAGGGTATCAAACCAACACCACGCGGCAAGTGTGGTAAAAGCAATCTCAAATTGGCACAAAGAGGGTATCAAATCAGCTAGCTATTGCGTGCGTTTCCTATGTGTGCAACTAGCCGGGTCGATCAAGCAAAGATCAATTAGTCTGCTGTTTTATACATGCGTCAGATGCTTCTGTCTACTACCGGTGTACGTACGTGTGTGGCGTACGTAGCTAGCTTTGCTAGTCTCGGTCGGAAGTCTGTTGCTTCGTCCGTCATTGTCATCGTCACGCGCTGCCCTCGCCGAAGTACTCGCGTAGTCTGTACTGGGCTAACACAACCCGCCACGTATTGCAGCTCGATCCCTGAGAGCCGATCTGTATCGCAATGGCCTGTGCATGTGCAGCACTTGAGGCATGAACACATCTATGCGACATGACCCATTGACATGCCACGTTCTAACTTATCACACGCTAGATTAATGCGTACAAATTTATAGGCTACAGTAGAGGGTAAATGGGTTCGTCACTGTGCTACAGTAGAGGCTAAATGCCGCGTTAGTCATGTAAATAATTTCCTTTTCTTTACTTATTCAAACATGACAAAATATTTCACATTACCTTTGTGTTTGCATGTAAATAATCTGTTCACATACTACATTAGGGGTAAAACAGTCTTTTTAAGTCAGGCTTAACACCGTTACTAGCCAAAACTGACGAAAGTGTCACATAGGGAACAAAATGAAGTTTGGGTGTCAAAAAGGGGAGAAAACAAAACTCTAGGCCAAAAAGGGAACCAAACTTTAAAAAAGGGTCAAATAAGGAATTCTCTCAAAAACAAAAGGGCCGCGCCTAAAGGCCGAAGAACTCGTTGAACCGCCGTCGTCACCGTCGTCCTTCTCCTTCTTCATGCGGCTATCCCTGCTGGATCCCTGGTCGGGGTCGCCCTGGCGGACTGGTTTGGCCGGCGGCGGCGCGTCGTCGTTGCTGTCCTCAAGCACGATGACGCCGCCGTCGTTGTGCCCACAGCGGCGCGCGGTGTTCTCCTCCAGGGCGCGGCGCTGGCACTCCACCTCTAGCCACGCGCAATCTTCCGACGCCCACTTCATGGCCGCCTCGTCGTCGAGTGCGTCATCGGGCTCGCTCTTCACGGCGGCGAGCCCCGGCTCCGTCTTCGGCCTGACGAGGCGGGGAGGAGTCGAGGAGGAGGCACGGCCGCCCTCGTTGATGACGATGTCGGCGCTGCGGGTGCGCCGGTCAAGCGGTGTTTTGACGGGCTCGGGCTTGACGCTGATGAGCGCCGGCGACCCGGAGGAGTGGGAGGAGGATCGGGAGGAGGAGGAGGAGGAAGATCCGCCCAGCATTCGCCACGGCAGCCACAGGCCGACACTCCGACGGGGGGTCGGGGCCGTCGGGTACTGCAGCGGCAGATCGTTGTCGCCCTCGAGGTACTCAAGGATGTCGTGCAGCGTGCGACCAGGGGCGCCCCACCACAGGCGGCGGCCGTTGCTGTTGTTGCGCCCCCTGACTACCGGCACGTTGTTGACGGAGGCAAGCTGCTCCACCCGCCGGCGTTCGAAGTACGCCACCCACGCCTCATGGTTGTGGGGGTCGTACTCCGGGAGGGCGTGGTCCTCCTCCATGAGGGAGGCCCGCACACGCTCGATCTCGGCGTGGAAGTATGTGGAGTGCTCGACGTCGGGCACAGGCGAACTGGGACGCTCCAGCGCCAAGCCTCCACCGCCCCGACGCACGCATGTTGGGGGGCGCCGGGTAATTCGCTCGTGGAGGAGGTGAGTTTCCCACTCATGGAGAGAGTGGCGGCCGAAGCCATTGGCCACAGCCGCGTCATCGGGGAGCCGTTCACCCATCGGGGTGTGCGTGCACGCGGTGGCTAGACGGGGAGAGACGGGGAGAAAGGGCGTCGACGGCGAGAGAAGGAGGGATGCGGGCGGGGTGATTCCACCGGCAAGGGAGGTTGCGGCTTTTATAGCGGCCGGGGGCGGCAACGCGTGTGTACGCGTGGTAGGAGGAGGCGCGTCGCCGCACTGCGTCGCCCGTGAGGAATCAATGGAAGGCTGACCAGCGACAGCCTTGGCATTGGTTCCCCACGGGAAACCGAGGCGATGAGGACGACGAGGCTCGGGGTCGCTGACTCGGTGGGACCACCATTCTTTCGCGCCAAAAACGATTGCCTCGGCGCCCCAGGGCGCCCCCAGCGCGCTGGGTTTGGCCTGGGTCCGCCAACACAAGTTTCGGGTCTAACCGGCGAAAAATGGGCTCCTGGGGGCGCGACTGGGCTGTTTTTTAGGCGTCGGCGCCGAAAAATGGGGCCTGGGAGCCTGTTGGGGGCACGGCTGGAGATGCTCTTATTGCTTTACTAATGAGACACACTCCACTCGCTCCCTGCGGTTCCCTACATCGACAATGTTGGCGTCACTTCCCTTTGTTGCCATGCGAAAGGAGGAGGAGCTCGCACACCACATCGACAGCGCCAGCGGTCATCCCCTTTGTCGTTGTGCGAGAGGAGGAGATGGGCTCGATCTGACAGGCGGTAGCTGTCGCAACAGCGCGCGGTGCTACTCGCGATGGTCGGTGACATTCCTCGTCGTTGTTCTGCGAGAGGAGGAGGATCTCACACACCACATCGACGGCGTCGGTAGTGATCCCCTTCGTCGTCGTGCGAGAGGTGGAGAAGCAGGTAGCCGGATTGGATCCGACATGCGACATCCATGGCGGCTTCCGTCATTTTATCGTACACGGGCATGACGCAACGGGCCTGAGTCGCCTCCTCCATTCACCGTGGACGGCCACCGATGGGCCGATGCCCTTCAACGCTTTTATTATTTGATGTGGTTTTGCACCAGAGGAGGTGTTGCCTCTCATTGAGGTGGTGGTGTTGAAGGAGATTCTGTTGCTCGCGAAGGTGCCGCTGTCGGAGGGAGTATTATTGCTATGTAGAGGCAAGGCAGAGGAAGAGTTGTTGTTGTTGGCGGAGGCGGTGCGCTAGAGGCGGAGCTGCTGCTCGAAGAGGATTGAAGAGTTCAGTAGCTTCGTCTTCCACTCTTTGAACTGGTGATGAAGAAGGGTAAGATTGCGTGGGTTGATGCCTCAGCCAATGTCCCTTCAACGATTTCTAGATCTCGCTTAAAGCGATAAGTGACTAATGCGGTCTTCAAAGATTGGCATAAGAAAGCGTTCACATGTGTCCATTTTCTTTGCTGCCGGTTCAGTGCAATTTCAATTTTCGATGGGCAACGTACTATCGAAGGCAGAAGACGGCCAGCATAATTTTTGATGTAATTTTTTATTGATCATTTTGTGTCAAATTGTCTTTGTATTGTAACTAGAAGAACGCCCGTGCGTTGCAACGGGGCCACATTAACTTTAAGAGTTCAATATTACGATATTGGCGACCTTTTTTACGATCAAATCCTCACACACTGATAATCCCCAAGTGCAAGGAATCATCGTAGCACTTTCCAAAGATGGAAGTGATAAGTATGGAGTGTCGAACCCACAAGGAGCTAAAGGTAAGATCAATATTCTCTCAAGCCCTATCTGCCACCGATACGACTCTACGTGCATCGGACGTTTGCTTCCAACTAGCAACAAGAAATAAAACTTTGTTGTGGGCATGAAGAGGATTACTTGTATGATATCGGAGAGCTAAAACATAAAAGTAG